GAAAACAATTAACCAAATAAAACGTACGATTGTGCACAATCAATAATTAGGAATTGAAAAAAAAAACCAGTAAAATGAACAGATATATAAATTGTTCGTAAATTTGGCCCTGGAGAAATACGCAAATGAGGCGGAGCCAATCGTATGCAAATGGGATAATGTATGCGATAATAGATTGCCACAAGCAGTCAGGGGTGAGGAATAGCAAGAGGCGGAATTAACATAAGGACAAGGAGATGCATGGTCATGAGGACGATTCGGCATTGATGGCCGTTTTCTACGGTCAATTTTCCCAATTTCCAGCACAGTCCATTATCCATTACCCAATCCACTGGGATCCGCGGGAGTGGATTGGATGTGAAGAACCATTCCCTGGTAATGTTGAAGACCAAAGTTCTCGCGGGAGGATGAATTGAGCTCATTTGAAGTCGTTCAACTCGGGGAGGGAAATGATGGACTCTGGCTTGAATGGGATATAATCTGTAGATTTCAGAGCCGGAAGACTGTATAACGAGTGTTTATTGGGCTGAGAGATTGGTGAATGAGGTGGGAAATAGATTAGGTAAGAAGTTTTCAAGAAATTAGATTACCTCCATGAGAAATAGGCATGTTTTACATGTTTATTAAAAATTTGAAGAGGAGGGAAGAGAAAGGGCTAGTGATTTGTTAAACCTAACATTGATGTAGATGAAATATTTCTTGTCAAAAAAGTGTTCAATCGGTGAAGTGGTAATGCGTCAGGCTTCCATCTAGTCATATAGTGGTTTGATCTTCTCATGAAAAGAAGTGTTTTTTCGTTCATACGGTTACCGAACTTTTTCTAGTCCTATGATATAACGTCAAATTTTCCGTGAATCCAAGAAACTGCAATTCAAACTTGGCAACCTGAAATCGCTCCTTACACATAATCGTCTCCTCTCTAACTCACATAATGCTTTGAGTTATTGCTTTGCTTTGCTGGTATGAGACTGCGGGAAATTTACTTATTCAGATGGTTTCGTTGTTATTGCTTGATTATCCCTTTTCATTGCTTAATTAATCTAATCAGCTTGATTCAGTCACATCACAGTTTCATGCTTGCTATTTGGAATGTGTACTTATGCCAGGTCACTTTCAGTATTTTTGCTTTCTCAAGTTTTATATGGTTATTCAATTCATTTTCGCTGTGTACGGGCGAGTATGGAGAATATTTCTCGTTTTGCGAATGTTTCTTGTCACCACATTATGATTTCCTATCCGCTCTCTGTGGAGAATTCGAAATATTTCATCTTTTTTGTTAATACTGATGATGAAATGTATTAATAATTTGATGATCATTTCGAATGACTCTTCACTGCGCTTCAGCTTGATATCTTGAGCAGCATGTTCGAACTACATGTATCCTCAAGTTTGCCCATCAACACCTTAGTTTCTTGGTGACATCGGATTCAGCAGATTCTCTGCTTTCAGTATAATATATATATATATTGTCGAGGGATTTTGCTTATTCGATGAAATATAGCTGATTTCTAAAGATATATCAAACTACTCCAGCGATTGTGTATCACTCCTAAACTCAGCACATTTGATCTCAGTGGAGTGGTCAATGATACAGTTGTATAGGAATGTATCGAACAGCATTTTCGAACAACCCGTATCCTCAAGTTTGCCCAGTAACACCATAGTTTCTTATTACTATCGGATTCAGCTAATTCTCTGCTTTCAGAATAATATATATGTTGTCGAGGGATCTTGCTTATTTGAAGAGATATAGCTGATTTNTCAAACTACTCCAGCGATTGTGTATCACTCCTAAACTCAGCACATTTGATCTCAGTGGAGTGGTCAATGATACAGTTGTATAGGAATGTATCGAGCACCATTTTCGAACAACCTGTATCCTCAAGTTTGCCCAGCAACACCATAGTTTCTTGGTAACATCGGATTCAGCAGATTCTCTGCTTTCAGAATAATATACATGTTGTCGAGAGATTTTGCTTATTTAGCGAGATATAGCTGATTTTCTAGAAGATCTGTAAGGCATTGTTTCAGGTCGAATTAGAGAATTGAACATGGTACTGTAGGAACATGGTCCTAGAGTTCGCCACTATGTTGAAGTCACTATCCATATGAAGTAACTTTGGAAAATCAGTAATATCTTCGAAATCAAGCGTTCCGTGTCGTTGACATACATATTCTCCGATAGCAGAGAATCTGTACAATCTTTTGATGTATCGAAACCATCGGGTTGCTGGTCATACCTAAGGACCAGGATAGCTTAAATTTTTTTCTTCTCATATTCTTTTATATGTACATCACTGATCAATTGTTCAGAATTCGCCGTTACACTAAAGCCTATAACCCATGTGATATCGCATTAAGTATTCTGCCATATCTCGAAACGAATGTCACCAACTGTTTCAATGTTTCAAAAACTTTTGGATGTACATAATGTCACTTTATAAAATCAAATTACTAACAATAAGAATGTGATGGACTCTTCTTTGGCTAATCTGAATCGATGTTTCTTAACAGACCTCTGTTTGTTTTTGGTTTACTTTTGCATATCTGTGAATTGCTTTGGCGTGAAATTTCCAAAACAACAGCCTCAATTTACCCCTTATAAAAAACCACAAGATTAGGGCTAACAACAGGTCCGCAATGAATACTCAGTTGTCATGTTTATTGACGATGAGTTACTTCTTCATTAGTTTCGCTCTTTTAAATGTTTTCATCAGGACAATCGGAATGTCAGTTTAACTTGTAAATTTAAGTAACATTTCAGATTTAAGTAACATTTATTTAAGTAACTTGTAAATTTAAGTAACATTTCGAATTGAACAATAAAAATGGGTTGGAAAACAATTGATTCACTTATTGACAGTCACCATTGCAACCGTGAATATTTTCGACTAGTTGTCAGTATTTGACATGTTGTGTTTTCCTTAAACAATGACGCATTTAAGAGATTCTCTAAATTTATTCTAAAATGATAAAAACTAATGAAATCTTTACATATTTAGCGATATTTTTAATACGTAGCGAGTGCAAATTAACAACAGAGCAAACAATTCACAGCGTTTTTTTTGCTGAAATACAATAGTAATATTCAATTTCTCTTGTCCATTTGTTTTATATATAAGCATAACAACGGAGGCAGTTCCATTATGGCATTTACAGCACTATTCAAAATGACCATCCAATACGGTTTGGTGGTCACTCACTAAGGTCACTTATCGGTCACTAATTTCCTCTCCGGCTCACCGATCCACCCGATCCCATATTCATTCTTAACCTCCTCTGGTAATAAGTTCAACTAAGCAGCTCTTTAGACATTTTGATAACTTTTCATTTGAATCCCTATAGACATCATCGTTAGTTTGTAACGTGTGTAGAACATAATGTGAGATGTTCGATCAAATGACTGATATACATTTGGATGTAAAGGTTCAAAATCTGTATTAAATTGACCATCCCTACATCGCTGTCATTATGCTGTCCAAAGTTTTTTATTTTGGTGATTTTAAAATTGAACAAATATTTGTAAACAAACAAACAAACAGATTTTATCTGTGAGTTGTTTACATTTGCTGAATAGGATCGGTCGGCGTTAATTGTGGCTACTGCCAGTGGTCAATAGCGATCACCACATTGGACATTAGTGGTCACATTTAGAAGACTCACCAATCATTACGAATTTTAAGTGCTTCATTGATGATTGATTCCTTCTTTCGTCACCAATAACTGAATTCACTTATTTTGTTTGTTATTTACAACTTCTCTGAGAAACCATCGGAATTCAGTGCAGAAGACTGGCAGTGGATAAAGATTCAGCTGGTTGCATGCTGTGTAATTTTCTTGCTTGGACAATCCGATTCCAAAATATTCACTTTTCTTCAGTTTGAGAATTGATTCATCAACGATTTGCTAAACGTTTTTGTTTAACGACGTTCGATTGTTGCTGACTGCGAGATTTCAGTAGATTTATGAAAATCATTTTAGACATGTTCTATTGTGCCGTTTCAACGCTTGTTGTGTTGCAAGTTTTCCACGTGAACGTTTTGATGGCCCAAATGGGCTTCGGTGGTGGAGGATTCTGTTCGAAATGTGCTGCGAAAAATTCAGAAATGAATGAGCATAAATTCGGTTTCGGTGGTGGAATATCGAGTGAGTTTTGAGCATTTTCTGTAATTCGTATAAAATTCTCAAAAGATTCATTAAAATCAAATCAGCTAAAATTCCCTTAACAGATGTGTTGGACTGAGATATTAGAGAATTTAGGTGAAGTTGGGCTACTGATAGCATCGGTAACTGTCTCGGTGTTTATTTTGTAATAACACTGTCTTATGTTATCGAAACACAAAGCATTCATATAATACAAACACAAAAGTGAGGAGAACTTCCAAGTGAGATATACGAAAGTTACATTTCATCATCCGAATCGATAGTGCATGATATCGTGTACCTCTTATACATATACAGTTAACGTACAGATTTAAAGGTTGAATTCATATATCACTTTGGTGTCCCTCACGAATCGTCTCTTTCGCGCTCCGTCGCGACAAACTGTTTTCGCAGGTGTTGGCTCGATGTTGAAGCAGTGAACATCATCATAAATCTAAATTGGATGACTAGTCGAGTAAATTAAAGTGTTGCACGCAGCAAATTTCTGTACTTGCTCTAGTCTACGTCAACACTATCATTTTCCACCAAAATACTTTACTCGAAATTAGATCAGCCACGGAAGTGACCTGAACATCTTGCAGACCCGCCATTATTCGGCAACCCGTCAACCGACACGGCACAATTGAGCGAAACGAATATTGGAGCGATGCCTTTCACGAATTTTCCGTCTTTCACACCGAATGCGTTCGCAGCAATGGGGCAACCTCAAACTCCAGAATACGGTATCTTCAAGTCAATGCTTACCGTACCACCCAACAACTCTCCTAGCCAATCACCAGTGACCTTCGACGGTTCACATGCATACAGTAACAGCTTTGTGCCGCAGCCAGATTCATCACCGTGCATGAATTCTGGATGTTATACGCTTCCATCAGGAGTAAGTTTCTTTTCGGGAATTTTTTCGATGAATTTCCATGGATTAAGATGGAAATCTATTTGTGAGTTGAAGAATTTCACTCATGGTGACCAGATTCTTTCGATCAAATAACATTCAAATGGTGATCAATTGTCATTTAGCGATCAGTCTCGTTGACTTGTTCTAGATATACAAATACCTCAAAGGCTCTGTAAGGAATTCCGTCAAGAAAATCATTTGGACAATAATAATTTGATGCCATTTTTCAAATGTTTTGCAGATGTCAT